TTCTAGTGTGTGTGTATGAGAGAGACAGGGTGGGAAAGACAGAGAACATATGTGCCTATGTGTACTAAATATTGTTCTGGAGGTTGTTCTTATATTCACTAACTTAGACCTTCCCAATATCCCTCAAAGAAGTAATATTATTTATGTATTCATGTATGTGAGTGTATGCATGCACACAATTGTGTGTGTGTGTTTTCTTTGTGTGTGTGTGAAAAGGCAAGGAGAGGTCATGAAATGTCATCTTTTGTCACACAAAGATTATTCCTTTAAGGCCAAGCCTCTCCATGAACTTGTGGTTCTTGTTTTGTTTTCTTGGATGGACTAGAAACCAGAAATGTTTCATGCCTCCCTCCAAAAAATGATTCTTAGCAAGGTTATGGGTAAGAAGTGTCTGAGAACACACAGGTCAAGCAGTATATGGTTATGTGACATATTATATACACTGTATATGGTTTTGATATTATTAAAGTATATGTAACATTTAAGATGATTGTTTATAGATGCTATTGTAAAATATACATGAGTATTTTAAATAAAATTAATGAATAAAATAAAACTTCATATCACTTGGGAAACCTGAAAGAAAATACATGAAAATATTACAGGTAAGTATTTGCCTTTGATTGTAACTGAGAAAAGATTATAGATAAGTCTTAATCAAAAGAAAAGAGCCTTTATTTATACACAGTTAACTGTTGCTAGGAAAAGCAAAAGACAATTTTCTTTCTTTTTTTCCCCCCAGGCAGGGTTTCTCTGATGCTTTGGAGGCTGTCCTGGAACTAGTTCTTATAGACCACGCTGGCCTCGAACTCAGAGAGATCTGCCTGCCTCTGCCTCCTGAGTGCTGGGATTAAAGGTGTGTACCACCAATGCCTGGCTACTAGATGTGAAGCAATGGGCCCTCAGTATGCCCTTAGTATCAATAGGCAGGTAATGGTTCTTGAACAAGTGAGAGATGCTTTCTTCAGAGGTGTAATCATTGTTAAGTTTACCCATGAGCCGGGCGGTGGTGGTGCATGCCTTTAATCCCAGCACTCAGGAGGCAGAGGCAGGCGGATCTCTGTGAGTTCGAGGCCGGGCTGGACCAATAGCCTCCAAAACAATACAGAGAAACCCTGTCTCGTAAAACCAAAAAAAATTTATCCATGATACTTTTAATTTTTTGAGTTTATAATATAATTACATCCTTTCCTGCTCCACTTTCTTCTTTTCAAACCCTCCCACAAACCCATAGACCTCCTTACTCCCTTTAAATATATGTGTGTAATATTTATAAACCACATACCATGTTGCAAGTGGCCATCACATTATTTGGGCATTGCTTGGAAAGCATTAGGTGAACAACTAAGGATATCTAGATGGAAAAAAGTCAGTAATGTAAACAGGTAATGTTAGGGTTCCAGTGCTTAAACACTAGGTTTAGGAATTAGACACACCCATCTTAGCTGAATGCTAGTTTTTGGATTTTTAAAATTATCTTACCAACAATGCTCATCTTACAGGTCTTTTGTGAAATTTTAAGAAATAATTTACCTTTTGATTTAGGTTTTTTTTAAAGAAAGAAAATTATAATAATGATAGCAATTAGATATCCTCCCAGCTGTTGTTCTTATGCTAATTTGAACCTTTCCCACGTTATCATCCATATTTTACAGATAAGGAAATAGTGACACAGATGAGAGAGGTATCTTGGTCAAGGCCACATAATTATTTACATGGAATAAGAGCAAAGGGGACTAATTTAGGAGGATACTGAGGACATCATAAGAAAACAGTAATTTGAACGAAGGCTATGCTAGTGGAGGAATTAGTGTAGAGCATTTATTTACATCCTTAGTTTCACAAACTTATGGCAAGACTATCACTTTTGATCAGTAGATCCCACCAGCTATTAAGAAAAAAAACTTCTTTGCAACTTTATGTACACATCACCGAATCATCTTTTTGCATCAAGTAATAGTATTTAAGATGACAGTTTCCTTAAGTTACATTTAACAAGAACAGAAGAGAAATGGGTTTGTGAGAGGAGACTTTGGTTAGCCTGAAAATGTGGCTCAACAGCAAAGTCAGTGTAAAAGCCTAGGTTTAACCTGAGCATGCATTTAAGCAGGGTGGGGGTGTCTAGTTGTGAGTCTAGTACTTCAGAATTATCTGTTCCATTATTTAATAACCAGTGTCAGCTCTTTTCATAGTCTTAACAAAATAAAAACCACAACAGAGAGGAAAGTCTACTGTTTTCTACATTAATTATACCTATGAGAGTCTGGTAGTGTGAAACATGAAGTCATCCCATCCCATCCTTTGCTTTGTGGATTCATGCCATAATTTTAGACAAAGCATTGAAGCTTAAATACATGTCTTCATGATGTTTATCTTTGCCCAAAACTTACGTTGTGTTTGAGAGTTGTGATTTCCAACTGCCTCAGCAAAACAAATGCTTCTAGAATATTCCAAAACTTTGGCTTCCAAACACTCCTGCTTAACAGACAGACCTTTGACACTTGCTTCTGCCATTCCTAATAGGTTTACTAGTGTCATCATAAATTCTATCGTTACAAAACAGAAGACTTGCAGCTATAAGAGAATCTGTATTTTAAGGTGCTATGTGTCCCTTTAGATTTGAAGGCCCTTTAGATTTATCTACTCAGTCATTAAAAGAAATTTCAGCGTGAGCTACTTGGGAGGCTGAGGCAGAAGAATTGCAGTTATTAAGTTAGCCTGGGCCACTTAATCCATGTCTAAAATTGAAAAGAGGACCAGCTCTTTGTGCCTGGCATTCACGTATGTTTAGAGAACTTTGTGTGTTTCACATGCTTCTTGCTTAGACTGTCTTTTAATTCTTTGGAAGATTACTTTCCTTCTTAAATTTGGTTGTCCATGGTCCTTTACACTTATTCTCAGGACATCTTTATACTGGAACCTTAGCACAGATGTAAATAACTTCAAAATTCTTGTTGACCCAGAATCATTTATTTATTTTGTAGTGCTAAGAATTAACCCTGAGGTCTCCCATATGCTAGGGAAGCACTCTACCACTGAGCCAGCCCTTGGGTAATTTTTCAAATATTTCCTTTCCTAATTTTTGCTTACTAGTGAATTTAGAGTTTCTTTCTCCATCCTTCTTTATTACAGAAATTCTCAACTGATCCTCCGTTTGATTTGAAATATAAGGAATGAGAATGATAAAATGCAGTATTTCTTTGTGATAGAAGTTCATTTTATTTATTTGGAAGAAAGCAAGTTTACTGAGTAAACTTCTTGGGATGGCAGTCTGTGCGGAGACACAGTAAAACCAGAAATTTTAAAAGGGGAGGGCTGTTTGGGGTTCTTTTTGGTCCAGTATTGGTTACCAAACCCAGGGTCTTGCACTTGCTAGGCAAATGCTCTATATTGAGCTAAATCCCCACATCTTACCATTGTGCTTAATAAATCATTTTTATATGCTAATTCCCAGTATAAAAGTTTAGTTTCAGGCCTGTTCTTTTTGTGCTTCATGTACAAAATGAGTGCAGTTTCTCTTAGCATAATCATTCAAATTAACCCTCTATGGCCACAAAGTCATCCCGAGGAATTGCTTTTCTTCCTGCATTGTTTTTCAAAGTACCATCTATGGCAGATCAATTTTCTTGTGACAGAGATTCCTTTGAGACTGTGTGGTACACTGTTCAAATTCAAAGGTGTGACTGACACACACACACAAATGTTGAAATTAGTGATAAAGGACCATGCCAAAGCATTCTGGTTGTTTTCCCCAGTAACTTCATTGAGTATTAGTGAAAGGAGTTTAAAGACTCCTTGGGAGATGGTCATATAGTGGAAACTGGAGCAGCAGCTTAAAGGGCTCACTACTTAGCTGCCTAAATAGATTGGGTCAGATTATGGAGGCCCCAAGCCACCTCATAAATGACTTTCAGCTTTCCTTGGCTTCTACACTAGACGTCTATTTAAGTTGTAAGAAGGAACTCCTAAACCCCAAGATTGATTGACTTCAATTCCCAGCATTAAATCGTCAGAATTCCACTTAAATCAAACCTGTATCCCCCAAAATACTTTCTAAGATTATTTGATGATCAAAGCGCTTTTTATCATACAATACTGACATGATGAGAAGAAACTGGACATATTTTGGAGTTGTTGGAACAACTTCAAAGAGTAAGAGTGCAGAATGTGGAGAGCTCTTCTTCCATGTTTGGAAGGCAGCGCATTGGCTGAGACTCTCTGTGAGGAGAAGCTGCCTTGAGAACATCTAAGGTCTTTCCCTACTTTGGGCTTCTAATGGATAGCGGAATTCACCTATGCCTCATTCTCCCTGCTTTACTCATAATTCTTCCCAATGCTTCTATTAGTATATTAGCATGGAAAGATGATTCCTGAGGCATATGTAGTAAGTTTCTCAGACGGTTGCCTCGCAATCCTCCCAAGAGCTGTTTCAATACATCTTGAAAGGAGTCTATTTATCCCCACCTCACACTTTTTGTTCGTTTTTTGTTTTGCAGAACGAGAAGAGGAAGCAATCTGAGAGATTTGGGTGCAGGGGGAGAAGGCACAGAGCCCAAGCGACCTCCCATTAGCCTGGTACCTCTTTGCTCAGACTTTGGTACCCAAAGCAAAGGACTCTGGATTTGGCATCCTTCCTTGTATCCTCGGTTTTCTTTAAACAAACGTTGAACACATTCCAAAGTCCTCTGTGTGTGCGCACGACACCTCCTAGCCACTGGCCCAGGGCTCCTTCCCACTATCTCTCTCACCCCCGCTTCCACCCCCAGCCTGCGCATGCGTCCTAAGAACCCCCTCCACTCGTGGCCCAGACTCCGAGTATTGTCGGGGGCTATTCTCTCTCCCAGGAACATGGCGGCGAGTCAGGGAGGCGGTGGGAACAGTGCGGGCAACGGCTGCGGTGGAGGTGGAAGTGGCGGTGGCGGCGGAGGTGGCATGGCTGGAGGAGGAGGTGGTGGTGGTGGAGGAGGAGGTGGCGGGGCCGGGGCGGGAGGCGGTGGCGGCTGTGGCGGGACCGTGGCGGTGCCCATCCCGGTACCGACTCTTTTCGGTCAGCCTTTCCCCAATGGGCCGCAGTGGCACCCGGGGATCTCAGCACACGGTGAGGAGCCTGGACCGGGCCCTGGAGGAGGCGGGGAACTCTGGCATCCTAAGCCTCAGTGGCAGGAAACTCCGAGACTTCTCAGGCAGTGGCTACGACCTGACGGACACCACCCAAGCAGGTGACAGGCTGGGGGGAGGGGAAGTGGGGCCTGGAAGGAGGATGGGGAGTGGGTAGCTCCGTGGCTGCCTTGTTGGACTCTGTTGGGTCGGCGCGCAGAGGCAGCGGGAGTCCCCGAATCCTAGCAGCCTCCTCTGACTGTGAGGGGCAATGCAGGCAGCCTGAAAGAGAGGCGCCAGCAGACCAGGGATGATGGAGAAGCTGGCTGGGATGTTGGGGCATTATTGTTAAGGAGTGTTGCACCCAGGCAGAAGGCACTTAGTGAAACCTTCCCTAATACACTTCCTTCAACTCTTCCTCCTGTCATTCCCCAGCTCAACCGTGAATAGGTGGGAAGGGGTGAGGGGAGTTGGAGAAGAGACAATGCAGAAAATCATAATCTCTACATATTCCTTGAAGGTATCCATGCCTGCAAGAATGGCATAGTCCTTTTCAGAATGAGGCTTGCTGTTTGTCTGTGTTCTTATGGTGGATTTGTTTAATCATCTTAAGATATTTTTGTCTTCTATTTTTTCTCACCTATGCCTTATAGAGTGACTTTTATTTTATTTTATTTTCCATTTTCCTGGTGTTGAGAGGTGATGTGGTTAGATTAGTGTATGTTGCACTAGCAAATTAAATCATCATTTATGTGTTTGTTACTGGGTGAAAGGTAGTCCAGTTTTGAGTGATGGTAGTTTTGATCTTTGTAGCAGAAAACTAAAATAAAAATGTATGGGAACTTTTGAGAAAAACTCCATTTCTTATGGAGTTGATGGTTAATGGATTATCCTATACTCTGTGTTAGTCTTTGTTGTGGCTGGACTTTTGATGTTGTGAATTCACTCTCCTTCTAAACCAGTGTTTCTTATTTTTAGCTTTGTTTATGTTTGCTGAAAGTTTTCTTTTTACAATCTTTAATTTTTGTTTATGTGTCTCATCTCCTCTACTGAAATAAATTATGCACCAAAATATTTGAATTGAGGTAGTGATTTTGAAGCAGCATAAATTCGTGCATAGGGAGAAGTAGTAAACGACCTTATTTATAAACAAGACAATTTTAGTGCATTTAATTTCTAGACATCAAATCAGGATCAATAGGAGGAAAAAGTCTAAAATTGAAGCTTCCTATTCAGTAATTCTCTTAGGCAGTATCCAAATATCTATGAATGCATAATCAATACCTGATTTTGGATTGTGGAAAGCAGGTTTGAATATTTGCACCTTTAGTGAGAACAGATTTCCCAAACACACTAATCACAAACTCATGCGTAGATATTGGCCAGATGTGCTCCTTGGTGTGTACTTCAAAACCTTCAAGAAAAAATGGCTCCAGGATGCTTCATTGTAGGAGTATTTTTTCCTTATTCTTCTTTATAATCCATAAAGGTTCCTTCTACCTGTAGGGCAAAGTTTAAAAATCGGAGCTAGACATTTCAGGCTGTCACTGTCTGGCCCCAGGTTAATTACTGCAACCTTATCTCCACAAATGTTCGTACACTCTCTTGCAACTAGGCCGGCTTCCTGCCCCTCACATAAATATTTTGTGTAAGTTTGCCTCTTCTTTGTGCAAGGCTGTCTGCATACATGAGATTTTCCAAGAAGCTCTTTCTATAGGCCATAGCAGTCTTCTGTTTCTTTGAATTCCCATGGTACTTAATGTCTTTACCACTTATTTGACACTGCTGGCTTTGTTTTCCTTTTATGTTGTGCCTTGCTCCCCACCAGGATATGGAGAGCAACTTTAAAGGCATATACTTGTTCAGTGTTCCCATTCTATATTTCTTTTTTTTTGTATAATGATGCTTCTCACAAGCATGATCATCATTTTATTCAGTTCTAACCATTTGCTTTTAAACCTCCCTTGGGTTGGTTTTCTGAGGCAAACTTTAGCACAACCCAGAACCATATTTGTTCTTGCTAAACAGTTACTCACCACAATCTTTTTGTTGGTGGTGGTGCACATGCCGTTCAAGAACTCTGCATACCCAGACCCCTCCCATCTTAATCTTACTAGTGTTTATATGGCATATCTTTTGGAATGTGTACTTGTGTGTGTGCCAGTGTACATATGCGTGAGGGTGCATATGTAAATGTGTACCTTGAGTGCTGAGGTCAGAGGTCAACGTAGGGTGCAGTACACTTTTTTTAGTTTTTTTTATTTTAAATAGCTTGTTTTACATGTCAATCCCAGTTCCCTCTCCCTCCCCTCCTCCCCCACTCCCCTTTCCCCCCACCCTCCCACCGTATTGCCAAATCCTTCCACATAGGGGATATTAGAGTCTGACATTTTACTCTGGGTAGGGTCCAGGCACTCCCCTAAGAGTCCAGGCTGAGAGAGCATCCCTCTTTGTGCTATAGGCACACGAAGACTGTTTGTATATCAGGGATAGACACTGATCCACAGCTCAGGGCCCCATAGGTTGCCCAGGCCTTCTCGCTGACACTCACATTTGGGGGGTCCAGATCAGTCCCATACTGGCCTCCTCACTGTCAGTCTGGGATCCAAGAGCTTTCCCCTGTTCAGATCAGCTGTCTCTGCTGGTTTTGCCAGCCCATTCTTTGCCGATTTGCTCATCACTCCTCTCTCTCTGTCACTGGGTTCCTTGGGTTCAGTTCAGTGATTAATTGTGTGTTTGCCTCTGCTTCCATCAGTCACAGGATGAAGGCTCCCGGATGGTTATAGACATCAAGTTCATTATCAGGAATGGGCATTTGAGGTGGTCTCTCCACTATTGCTTAGCTTGCCAATTGGCGTTATCCCTTTAGATCACTCGAGGTCGCTCTGGTGCCTGATCTGTATTCGATCCTATGATTCCCTCTTCCCCCTATTCTACCCCCACCCCCTCAACTTCCTTTTCCCCCATGACCAACTCTCTTCCTTTTCACCCCCTCTCTTCTTCCCAGGTCCCACTCCCCCCACTCCTCGCCGTGTTCTCCATCCATTCAGAGGATCTTGTCTCCATCCTCTTCTCTTGGGTAATATGCATATATGCATATCTTTTAGGTTCTTTCCTGTTTCCCAGACTCTCTATCAGTGGAAGTGCAAACTGGCACTATCCTGATCCATGTCTAAAATCCATATATGAGTGAGTACATACCATGTTTGTCTTTTTGCGACTGGGTTACCTCACTCAGAATGGTTTCTTCCAGTGCTATCCATTTCCCTGCGAATTTCAAGATTCCATTATTTTTTTCTGCTGAGTAATACTCCATTGTGTAAATGTACCACATTTTCTCTATCCACTCTTCAGTTGAGGGGCATCTAGGCTGCTTCCAGGTTCTGGCTATTACAAATAATGCTGCTATGAACATAGTGGAGCAGATGCCGTTGTTGTATGAACTTGCCTCATTTGGATATATGCCTAAGAGTGGAATTGCTGGGTCTTGTGGTAGATTAATTCCCATTTTCCTGAGAAATCTCCATACTGATTTCCAAAGAGGCTGTATGAGTCGGCACTCCCACCAGCAGTGGAGGAGTGTCCCTCTCTCTCCACATCCTCTCCAGCATAGATTGTCTTCGTTGTTTTTGATTTTAGCCATTCTGACAGGAGTAAGATGGTATCTCAGAGTTGTTTTGATTTGCATTTCCCTGATGGCTAAGGATGTTGAGCACTTTCTTAAGTGTCTCTTGGACATTTTAGCCTCCTCTACTGAGAATTCTCTATTTAGATCTGAACCCCACCTTTTAATTGGATCCTTTGGTGTTTTGGAGACTTGTTTCTTGAGTTCTTTGTAAATTTTGGAGATTAGCCCTCTGTCAGATGTAGGGTTAGTGAATATCTTTTCCCATTCTGTGGCCTGCCTTTTTGTCTTTTTGACTGTGTCCTTTGCCTTACAGAAGCTTTTTAGTTTCAGAAGGTCCCATTTGTTAATTGTCGATCTCAGTGCCTGTGCCACTGGTGTTATGTTTAGGAAGTGGTCTCCTGTACCAACTCGTTGAAGAGTATCTCCCACTTTCTCTTCTAAAAGTTTCAGTGTGGCTGGATTTATGTTGAGATCTTTGATCCATTTGGACTTAAGTTTTGTACAAGGCGATAAACATGGATCTATCTGTAGTCTTCTGCATACCAGTACCCAGTTATGCCAGCACCATTTGTTGAAGATGCTTTCTTTTTTCCATTGCAGTACACTTTTTTAATGGGGTCTCTTAACTGCTCTGAAGTTGTCAAGTAGGCTAGGCTGGTTGATTTGAGAACATTGAGAATCCATCTGTCTTCCTCTCTCCAGCACTGGGCTTACAAATAAACAACCATGACCAGGTTTTTACTTTCTTACATAGATTCTGGGGATTAAATTTAGATACTCATGCTTGCCTGACCAACATATTACCTACTGAGGAAGGTGTTTTTGTTTGTGAGTTTACTTCCTTCCCTTTTTCATTCTTCCCCTGCTTCCTCCTTTGTGTGTGATACTCATTTGCACAAACATGCACATATGAATGCAAGCACATGGATGCTATGACTAGCTTGTGGTGGTCTGAGGAGTACCTTGTGCATCAGTTCTTACCTTCTACCTTAAGATAGGGTCTCCTGGCCTTTGAGTATCCCGGCCTAGCTGGCCCACAAGCAACCTGGGATTCTGCTGTCTCTTCTATCTCCCTAAAGGAGAGCTGGGATTACAAACACCTGAGCTACTGTGTCTGTGCTTTATATAGGTTCTGGGGATCTGAACTCCAGTTATGCTGTTGACAAGACTTTACCCACCATGTGCTGCTCTCCCCACCCATGTTTTTTTTAAACATAGTCTGTGTTTCAGGCTAGAACTCAATTCACTTTGTATCTCAGGTTGGCCTTGAACTTCAGATAATCCTCCTGACTCCGTCTCACCGAATTAAAGGCATGAGCCATCACTTTGTAGGATTTCTCAAAATTACTCAGCTTTATTATAAGCTATGGTACACTTTGAGGGAGGATATGCAGATTTTTTTCTGAGTTTGGGCTCTCGTGTTTAATATTATGCTTTTCAAGTCCATTACTTTGCCTGCAACTTTCATTTTTCTGAACAGCTGAATAACATTCTATTGTGTATGTGTACCACATTTTCATTATCTATTCATTTGTAATTGGACATCTAAGGTTTGTTTCATTTCATTGGTATTGTATGTACAGCAGCAATAAACATGGATGTACAACTCTTTTTTATTTTTATTTTTTATTTTTTATATTTTATTTTCCAGTTTAAATTTAGATAAGAAACGAGGTTGCTTCACAAGTCAGTTCCAGGTCCCTCTCCCATTCCCTCCCCTCCTCCCGTGCCCTCCCCCCAACCCTCCCCCCGTTATCCCCTCATCCCACCAGGGAGGGTGAGGCCCTCCATGGGGGTGTCCATAGTCTGTCATTTCATATAGGGCAGGGCCTAGGCCCTTCCCCAAGAGTTCAGGGTGAGAGTGCACCTCACATTGTTCTATGGGAGTCCAAAGTCCGTGTGTATACTTGGGATGGGTACTGATCTGCTGCCCAAGGCTCAATAGATTCCCTAGGCCTCCTCACTGACACCCAGATTCAGGGGGTCTTGATCAGTCCCATGCTGGATTCCCAGGCTGATGCCTGGGATTCAAGAGTTAACCTTTGTCTGGTCAGCTGTTTCTGGGGGTTAAACCAGCCCAGTCTTAATCCCTTTGCTTTACATGTTACAAAATCCTTTGAGTATACACCCATGAATGGTATAGCTGGGTCATGTGGTTGGGTTTTTTCTTTGTTTTAATTTCTGAGGAAGTTCCAAGCAAATCTCCATAACTGCTTCGATACTTTGAATTCTACCAGCACTGAATAAGGGTTACTCCCTGCATCCCTACAAACCTGTCGTCTTCAACATTTGCTCTTAAATTACTGGATGATAGCCATTGTCACTGGGGTAAGGTGAAGTCTCAAAGTATTTGAATTTGCATTTCCTGAATGAATATGGCTGTTAAGCGCTTTAAAAAATACATGCCATTTGTGTCTCTTCTTTTAAAAACAGTTTCTGTTGATTTACTTAGCCTATTTGTTGACTAGCAGTTTTATTTCCTAGCCTACAATGTGTATGTATGTATGTGTATGTATATATATATATATATATGTATATATATGTTAACTGCTGTAAGTATGGGTAGAGTTGTAGCATTAAGAAGGGTGACAAAGACTAATATTGGGTGATGAGGAAGGATGGAATGCAGGTAAAAGGAAACATGGGTCATGAAAGAGGATATAAACACATTTTTTTCTGTTCTCATTTCAATTCTCTCATAGTTTTGCAATTTCTTTTGGTGTCCAGGTGAATAAAAATATAATTTATACTAAAAGTATAAATCCGTGGTCCCATCTGCCTTCGGAAACTGCAGCACCTCCTGGGCTTCCGGCTCCTGGAGAGGTACAAGAGACTCCACACTTGGACCTGGGTGATGGCAGAGACATGGTCTGGCCAAGAAGCTGGGGAACCATCTGTGTCAGATGACACCCTGCCCTTCAGTGCTGACTCAGGCATGGGCTTCGAGAGTGACACAGAGCCTGTCACCAGTCCGTCAGATCCCGTCACCCCTGATGCATGGAGTCATGCCTTCCCTGATGGGCCTGAACCAGGGTCTGAGGATGGACTGAGCTCTCTGGCGGCCTCAGAAGTGTTGCTGAAACTCGGGGGCCCAGTGGAGGCCCTTGAGGAGTATGGACAGTGGCTGCATGCATGTATCCAGGCTCTGGAGAAGGAAGTGTCTGAAGACGAGCTGGTCCACGTAGATGCAGCTGTGGATGCCATGGGCCGGTGGGAGATGTTCACGGGGCAGCTCCCAGTCACCAGGCAGCACCTGCCCTGTGTCAAGGATAATGTGGGTCTGCGCAGGGTCCTGGGCGACAAGTTCTCTTCCCTGAGGCGGAGGTTGAGCTCTCGAAGACTTACCAAGACCAGTTCTTCCCACTGCCGCTGGGGTGCAGAGAATTAATGCTTCAAGATGGACCATCCAATATAGTGAAATCGGCTCCGGGCATTTTTTTCCTGAAGATACCAACTGACCATGCCTGGCCAGTGACTGAGGGTACTCTGGTATCTTCTGGGTTAAAAGAAATGTCCCCAGAAGCTGAAGAAATGCTCCTTGGGTGCTTGACCACAGGGTCCTCATGTTATGTGGCCTGTAGCCTTGGCCAAGAGGCAGGAGGTAGCCATATGCTTGCTTCTTCCCTACAGGAGGAGGCTCCGGTCCACTCTGCAATATGGGTTATGTGGCTATGTGTATGTTTGTGTCCCTCTGTCTGTGCATGAGTGCAGCTGGCCACAGAGGCCAGGAGAGGGCGTCAGAATCCCTGGATGCCATTACAGGAAATGTGAACCCTATGTGGGGGCTTACAGTTGAACTCAGGCTCTCTGCAAGCGCAGTACACCTTTAATGTCTGAGCCATCAATCCAGCACTGTTTTTTTCAACTTTGTGTCACTCATATAGGGTTCTTTTCTGTGGCTAGAATGACTTTCAGCTCATCAAGGCTGGCACAGGCCTTTTGAAGCTCCTGGAGAAATGTGTGCCCTGTGAGGTTGGCCATTTCTCAGACAGAAGTTGGGTGATTGGGTGACTAACGTGCAGGCTCATGGGGTTGGGTGTGGAAGGCGGAGAGGCCGCTTCTCCAATCCCAGTCTGCTGCTTGTGCTGTCACTCCAGTTAGGCCAGTGTGGCGGTGGGGGCTCGGCTCTTCTCTCTTTGATGGCATTTTTCCTGTCTCAGGCTATAAACTCCTGACAGAAGAATGGCATTAAAATTATTCATCCACAAAAAAAAGTATAAATCCGTAAGTGAAGCTCTGTCACTTAAGAATGGCCATTCCAACTGTATGGCAGTTCACTGAGAAGGACAGGTTTTGAGACTGGGAAGTGTTTGAGTGGCTTCCTTAAATCAGCTGTGTTTATAAAAAATTAAAGTTTTTATTTGTGAGGTAATTAGAACAAGGTGATTTTATTTAAAATAGATAAAATGACAAATTAAAAAGGAAAGGAAAGTCAATCATTTAATATTTTTGTCATTCAAATGCATGTTCTTTTCGAGACCATATCAAGATCAGATAGAGTAAAGTAGATTTGTGGTATTACTGTATTTCATTTAAATGGTGTCAGTACATGAGTCACTTGTCCTTTGTTTTGAGAAAATGTATCCACGAAGTATTTAGGAGCAATATTTCTGAATACAGATATCATGCTCATTTTATGTAAATGAAAATAGGCACCTCAGATATGAAGAAAACTGACTATATTTGAGGCATGCACACATACACAAAATATACATAACAATAGAAGCTATCTTCTTCAAGATAATTCTGTTTGATGGCATTGTTACACTGTATTTACAATGACTCCTAGTGGGTTAACGTTTCAGAACCAAGCTGATTATTTAGACAAGCAAGAGGTGGTTTATTGAATGGAGAAGAGACATGCAGAAGGGAAAATAGAAGAGATGCTATTCTGCTAATTAATCGGTAGTTGGAAAATGAGCTAAAATAACTGAGATGCTATTCTGCTAATTAAGCTGTGGTTGGAAAATGAACTAAAACAATATTGACTTAAGGGAAATAGACAAGTTTCAAAGGAAGAAGGGGGCTTTCTGCATCATTTTACTGTCCCTCTTACATGCATAATGTGAAATAGACCAGTGTTCCCTGCCTTGGCTAGACATTAAAATCCCAAAGGAGTTTTTTTTTAATTTTTAATGCCAACACCTTATACCCAGACCAATTAAATCAGCG